CATCACAAAGCATACAGAGAATATGGAAAATTGTAATTAAAAAAAGCTATGTTATTGTGTCAGCTGTGCATACACAGGCAGAGCTGAGTAGTGTGCCAAGAAGTTCCACTGCTAGGAGCCAGTCCCTTTACTGCCCATATTGAAAGCAGCACTCCATATAATTTCTTAGGACACGCTATTTCAGTGAATGGCCCCAAATCAAGTTCCATGCACTTTGGCGGCAGAATCCGAGACAAATGTTGGGGTTAGGACCTGTCTGTACCTAACGCTGGCGCAGGAGGGAAGGTGGGTGGAAGAAGGCAGGGCAGAGCTGCAGTGGAGGAGGAAATACCAGATGCAGCATGTGCTTGCTTTGACCTTTTGAACCGCAACCTTAAAGTGAGAATCTTCAAGAGCCACTCGCTTCAACTCTTACACGGTCTGTGTCAAGAGAACCAGAATTTAATTCTAAATAAATAATTATGGGCAGCCAGTAAAACTAAGCACTGGAAAAGAAATCCACAGGACTTGATGGGTTTGTACACGATTTACAGGAGAATTAAAATGCATAGATGCTATACCAAAACCACCTTTCACAGGAGTCAGACAGACACCGCTGCTACCGAAAGCCTGCCATCATAAGGTAATTCCTGAAGCTCGTGGCGTTAAACACCTCGGGCTTTGTCAGATCCTGCTCGAGGAACCGCACTGCTCGGGGGCAGGAACCGCCAGCACGGCCGCGATCCCGCTCGGCTCCCGGTCAGGGGCTCCCTCCCCCTCCGGCCGGTCTGCCGCGGCGGGCGGGCGGGCACCGGCTGCGCCTCCCGCAATTTGATCTTTGTTCTACGTCCTGCTCCCGGCGCAAGCGGAAACGCAGGTGCAGGGCGCAGGGGCTGAGGCTGCCCGCCCGGCCCCCGAGGCGAGGGGCTCCGGCACTGCCCGTCAGCGCGGCCGCGAACCCCAGCAGCGGGACCGGGAGGGGGCAGAAGACGGGAACGCGACGGGGAAGGAAGGGCCGATATATCCGGATCCACACCCCTTCCCCCGCTGCTCCTTCTCTCCCCTCCGCTCCTTCGCTTCCCGACCGCCCCACAGGCCCGACGGAACGGGGACAGCGTTCCCTATCCCCCACGACCCGGGACGGGGCAACTCCCCCCGCCTGGAGCCCGCACCCCCCACACCGGCCTCCCCTCCCCCATCGCCAGCGGGACGCGGCCGTGAAGGAGCGGGCGGGCCTGGCGGCGGCCGCACCAACCGCGGCGCCAGGGCTGCGGGGAGCCGCTGCCGACCCTTACCCATGAGAATGCGCATCTGCTTCTTGCCGAAGAGGCGTGAGAAAAGCGAGGAGATGGTGAGGCCCATGGCGGCTCCGGCGCAAGGCTGGGCGGCGGCACAGGCAGCGGGAGGGAGGGAAGGAGGGAGCGCGGCCCGGCTCCCGGCTGCACTCGCGGATCCCTCCGCGGGCGGAGGCTGCGGCGGCACCGACTGATAGAGCACAGCGGCAACAGCGGCAGCCGCGGCGCTGTGACCGGGAGCCTCCCTCGCTCGTTCTCTGCCACGTCACGCTCTCCACGGCCGCCCCGGCTCCAACGCGGACAGACTCACGTCACGCTCGCCACATCCCCCGGCCGCGGAACCGCCCCTCGCCACACGGCAGCGGGGACTGCAGCTCCCGGCAGGCGCCGCGCCGCGCTCCCCAGCGCACGCCGGGGGATGTAGTCGAGCTCTTCGGCCCCGCCTCGCCGCGGGGGCCGGCAGACACAGGCAAGGCGCAGCGCGGCGGGACGGGAAGTGCAGTGCGGCGGGAGCCCGGCGGCTCCGAGGGCCGAGGCCCAACGCCGCCCCGCTCCCCCTAAGCCCCAGTGCAGTTTCTGGTCCCTCGGCGCTTCGGCTGAGGCAGCGCGGCCGGCAGGCTCTGCTGCCGCAGGACAGCTGAGAGCACGAGAGAAAAGCAGGGGGTTCACAGTAAAATGCCTCCTCAGAGACCCGCCCAAATACACCATGGTAGCAACAGCACCGGATGATTGAAGAATCAAACCACCCCAACCCCCAAAAGCTCTATCACAGGAACACCCACTACCACAGGATCTTCTGCTCGCATTGTTTCTGTGCTCTGCAGCACCAAGGCCAACCCCAGTGTGAACCTGGCACCAAACCAGCACACGGCTCCTCGGCCAGGAAGCAGCAGGCAGATAGAAGTAATGCAGGAATACAACTGAAACAAGCCCTCGTTTATTAGAAACACACTATTTCTGGAGAGGAGTGTTTGATTTCATAACCAGCTGTAACAGCTCCTTTCACAGCTACTGAAAGAAGCCCACAGCATGGTGATAATTAAATCAGGGCAACATATGATGAGCTGCGTTTAATGCTTAAGTGACTGAGCTGCCTCACACCAGGGAGCATTCGTTCAATCAAAAGCCCTAAAACTCTTCAGTGCTCATTGCTCTTGTGTCCTGGCATAGTTTCCAAACTTTTTTTTTCAAACAGAAGCTATTTATCCTCCATTAAAGAAAAATGTCTTTAATGGTCTTGATAAAGAGACAGTCCTGAACCAGCTCCTAACATAAGACTTCTGTTAGTGAGACTCTGGCTGTTCCTTTTTTACCTGTCATGTTGAAAGTCTAACCCAAGTTTTAGATTATGTTCTTCTGAAGCAAAAATCTGTTTCAAATTAAAAGTTACATTTTAATAAAATATAACTTTCACGTAAGTCATGTTTTAACTTAATCTAGTTAATGCCTAAGATGTTAGTACGATCCTGATACACTATTAGATACCAGTTTCCTGATAGTCTTAATGGATCCGGTTCTATGTTTCCAACACTTAACCTGTTTTCTATTCAGAGCACTCAGTATTTATACTTTTTTTTTGCCAGGAAAGCTCAAGTTTCCTCAATTTAGCTGAGATAAAGTGTACTACAAAGTATGTGGAGGACTCTTTTTGAAGTTACTCTCTAAGACCTCCAAGCTGGCATGTTCTCACTATAGCCAGGTCATGAATAGGTTCTCACTGTAGCTAGGTCATGAATAGATACCTTCGATTATTTCAGTTGTTTGAGTACAGTCTAACAAACATTTGCTTTTGGAGTATTCAACATGAACACAAGTGATTGCTCTGTATAGTCATATGTAACTATTATTCATAACATACTGTTGACTCCTATCAAGGATGTAGACACTGTTCAAGGACTAGCTGCACCTCTTCCATCTTTTACTGAACTTCCTCTCAGGTTTTGGTTCTTGGCATTATTTTTACATTGTTTAAAAAAAATTTGTCCAAGAGCTTATGACATTTCACTGTCCTGATACACTAAGTGAGGCAGTCCTAACTTCTTCTGACGACCCACCTGGGGCCCTTTAAGCATTCCTTTACTGAACAGCTGCTACCTCTTTTCTAGGACCCCTAGAATCATCCAGGTATTCTCTCTCACTTAGGGTCTTTATCCTGTCTTGGTCTAAACAACATGTGCGTTTACGTACATATAGATTCGAATGCTGTTTAAGCATCAAATTCTTGAGGGATTTAAATGAATACCAACACCATTAAAAGAAACCTGAATTAGGTTTTGCTTGCAGGATACTTCCCACTACCATGTTTCTCAAGGGCCTCTCAGATGTGTACAGGAAACAGACTGAAGATAAGCTAATTCTGCTTGGAAACCAGTCCCTGCCATTTGCTTTCTTGAGGATCCTGCAGCTCTATCATACTACAATCATGATGCATGATCAAACTTCAACACTACCCTATCACATCAGGTATTTCTGGTCACCAAAGGGGTAAAGCTTCTTCAAGTCTAACAAAAAAAGCAGCCTCTTACAGTCTGTTGAACAGCTTTGCTTACCCAGAAGAGTAGAAAATCAACCAACTAAACCCATCATCCAAGTCATGTAACTTCCAAAGGAAAAAAAAAAAAAATTAAAAACCAAACCCTTTATTTTCTTTTACAAAAATACATATTTGCAGTCATGGGATAGTTATCAGAGTTACCAGTTTACATGGTTCCAAGAAACTACACTGTTCCAGGCTAAATATTTAAGATAATTTAGTGTAAGAATGGCCACTTAACTGATTTATGGATTAGAAACGCTATCTATCAGGGTGTGCAAAATAAAATCTGCAATTAGAAATTAATGCTGAACTGGTGTAGTTTAAGTAAAATAGTAAAAACATTAAACTTTTGGTCATGAGTAACTGTATACAAACCATACCAATATTAAAATACATCATTTTCATAAAAATACTGCTGTGACAATTTATATCTAAGTAAGATATTTTTAGAAAGATGGTATGAAATATTTATCATACAAAAGCATATTCTTATAGCAGGATTATGTCATAAGTTTGTAAAAATTCTATCCAAGCGCTTAAAAGCCAAGTTTGGTTTTTGTATAACCGTGATCCACTTGTCATATAAAGCGTATGCTATGTGTACACCATAGCATTAACTATTCGTCTTGAAACTGGTCAAAGTACAACACTGCATGTGGAGCAGCTGAGTTTTCATGTACTACTGCAACTTGTTCAAGAAGATGAACATCACATTCTTGTTGCTTAATACTCAAGAGAAAATTACTCTTTATGCATGTTTGCTATATGTGTACACTGACAATTCCATGCTACGAACTTTTCATGCCGCAGTCTGACTTTTCCATAGGCTTTTTTTCAGTTGAAGCCATCATCTCCCTCCAGCCCCATTACCTCCTCAAATGCCTTATGTAAATAAAAAAATAAAGAAATAACTGGAGCTGACAGCTATGATCTCCAACTGAAACAGATTTTGTATCACCTAACTCTACTGAAATCACTGATTTTAAAATCCATACTAGAACACCACTGTATTTATTTCCTGTGATGAATACTGCATGCTTACATTTACAGTAGCGATCCACTTTAAATCCTGGATGTCAGCAGTTTAAAACCACCAATTAGTATACAATTACTTTATATTTAAGGCATGTGAGTAAGAGCACTCTATGACTGTGAACGGAAGAGAATTCTCTTCAGGAAAGGTCAGTTAAATTAATATGTCTTTGGAAAGGCAGTTAAGAAGGAGGAAGGAAGAAAGTTAAGAATGGATGTGATTATTTCAGCTGTCCCTGAAACAGTTTGGAGAGCCATGATTTACCAGTAAAATACCTCAATTATAATGTATTTTGACCAAGACACATAATATGTCAGTTGGACTATCACTAGATGAAAACTAAAAGACGAAAGGAAAAAAAAAAAGTAATCAGATACTACATCAACAGGACAGTTACAGGATCAATATTGCTTACCCCTGAGTTAACAGGATTGGGTATAGCAGCACCAATTGGAAAACATTCTGCAATGCCAGCACTGCACTGTGGTCCTAGGCTGTGGTATAGTTTCATTATGCCCACAGATTTTTTTTTAAGAGCACTTATTTCAGACATTATTAGACACAGGATTTTTTTTTGTTGCATTGGTAGTTAAGTGGAAAAAACAGTGAAAATAGTATAGTGGGCTATATGATTAGTACAGTCCACTTGTAGTGTTAATATACTGTTTAGAGCTGTGTTCCCAACTTGATAAGCCACTGTCTTCTGTGGAACTACACTTGCCTTCTGTTTTCTGCACAAAAAAGTCCAGTAGAAATCATGTTGTGCCAGTTTTGAGCAAGATGTCCTGTAAGTCATCTGGAAGTGCTAGTATAATGTCATTGATGTGTGTCTGCAGCTTTTTCAATGTGTCAGTTTTCACAGGAAGATGTTCTCTGTCAGCCTGCAACTGCAAAAGTACATAAAACATGATCTCTACTAAAAATGCAATTTTACCTTAAGACGCACCAAAGCGACATATTAACAGACCTGCAAAATTAATTCCTTTCAGACCAAGCAAGAATTTGGACAACAGCAGGTTTCCTCAACTACCACACAGCAGCATGAGCTAATAATGATTTGGACTTCCAGGAATCACAAGACAATTCGGTCTTCTTTCCTGAGGATTCAGTCTTGCTCCTACTCAGATCAATCACAAAGCTCCAACTAGTTTTAAAACAATGAGATCAGTGCGATGCTTCTAACACAGCTGGACACTGCTGGGAGGCCAGCTAACTTTTCAGGCACGGCTGGAATGAACTATTCTTGTTTTAAAAGCCTGAATGACTGATTCTTTAAAATACCTGTACCTTAAAATATTTTCCTTTACGTACCTATAAACACTATTATACTTTTATCTAGTTAAGTCATGCAAATTTGAGCCCATGTTTAATTCAGTTACTTACCAATTTATTCTTTAACTTTAAGACAAGATCCACTGTTTCTACTTCAGTATGTTTCTGACTCCAGAAAACCAAGTTCTAAAAGAATAAAAATTAAGCACTGTAATATTTATGGCAACACGTAACATTTTCAAAAGCCATATTAATTTACACCTACTGTTCAGAATGGGTCTGTCTTCTCTTCTTCCTTGCTCTCATGCCATTTACTAAACTCATTTTACTCACATACTGCCTCTACCAAGAACTATGATATCTGCTTTATTTGCATGTTTGCCCAGGGCTCAGCATAACAGGGACCAGCACACAATCACAAATCAAAGAAACAAGTAAGAATAAAAAACCCCATGCTAAACAGGCTTAGCTTCAAAACTAGCACCTACAATGCAAAGTGGAGTGAATGTTGCCAAATCAGACCTGCCAGCATCACCAATTACTAAAAAGTTGCCAGACATCACTTCTTGTTTCTAAGGCATTAAAGGTGAACACAGAGTTGACAACTAGTAAAATATACCCATTAAGTGAATTTTCTTCTGGAAGTTCTGTTCCCCCTCCCCTTTACTAGTTACCTATTAAAGACATTTGCTCGTGTACAAAAAGATGTGAACACTTGGATCTAAAGAAAAGACTAATAAGGAGCAGAATCAGTAGTAAGTTTGTGGCATTTCCTTTTCTTTGCAATAGGTTTACATCACATAGAGTGAGATAGATCCTAGGTGATATAATTGACCTAGCTATTGCCCTGCAAACTGTTCAAACAGAGCAGCCCAAATAATCTATTTCAGTTGCTACAATGTAATGTTTGGGAATTCACAACCAAGGGATAAAAATCAATGGTTTTTTGAAAATAACCAGCACAATTTTTGTTTGTTTTAAAGCTGTGCTGTTGACTTCTTTTTGTTCTTCCCATTCTCTCTTTAGCTGCACAATCTCTCCTCCTCTCACATTCACCTTCCTTTAACAGTCGTTCCAACTTAAATTATACATAACATTTACACTATATTATGTATTACACTTCAGCTTCTTAAATAAAGAACGGATCTTACAACATAAGATCATTTATGCGGTATTTTGTTTTAGGTCAATAAACAGATTTCACTCCTCAGCTTCTAACTACTATGGATCAGTTGTAGGCTTATTTACTATCCCTATCTAATTAGTTGTCAGTTTTCTATGGCACCCACCTTCAAAGCTACAAAACAGATCACAACTAAAAACGTGTTGTCAAATGAAATGCCAAGGAAGGAAGAAAGCTGAATGAAGTAACAGTATCAGATCTGAGGAAAAACCTTTCTGTGTGTATTGATATTTAAAATATGCAACAAAAATAACTGAAGATACATTTTACAAACAACAACAGTTATAAAAAGTGAACAGTATTTCATACTGTTCTCTTTTGCTATCGTTCTAGATTGTAACTGGTTAACAAAATCACGTTTTGCTAGCTCATACTCAAAATTGATATTATATTCAACCATTAAAAACAGCAGGAGTAAAACTGACCTGAAGGAGAATATATTTTTATTATAATATGATAAATACAAGCCCACATTTTTCTAACCTCATTACAGAGGGCTTCTAAATGAAGGGCCTCCAACTTCTGTGTCATTTCTTTCTGCCGGCTCCTAAACCAACCGTCGAAGTTTGGCGATTTCAAAAAATGCCTGGTAAAACACAGAATCAAACTACATTTTATATTTTAATTACAATTTCAGTAATACTGTTTTCTCTGCCGTCAAATGTAAAGTAATTGTGTTTGAGGTTGAAGAAGATATTAGGACCCTCTGTTTTCTTTCAGAAAAACATAATCTGGAGTATAGCAGGTGCTTCTTTTAATCAAGACAATGAAGATGAGGAATCTTTTCAGGAGAAAAGCAAGGCTCAGTTTGAAATATCCTCACTTTTATTTCTGTGTTTGATTGGAAGGACGAATCAAGCTAGAACCAGAAATAAAACCACAAATAATACTGGTGTACAGAGACCTGCAGTGTCAGCAGCACCTTATGAAAACCATTAACAGGTTACAGAGAAATTTAAAGGAGTAAAGTATACTAAGCACTACCAATTCCCATTAAAGCATATATTGTAGAAGTAAGTCTTATTCACATCAATACTGATAACATAAGTTTGTTCAGGAAAAGAGTATTCATATTACTGATTTGTCTTCATTTATATAATTTAATTTTTATGCTGATGAAAGAAATGACCTGTAAAGTCCTATCCAGTCCCCTTTTAAACCTGATGTGAGCTGTGGTCCTGCTTTTTCCAGTGTCTTCATGAAGTCATCTTGGCTAAACTGCCTCAGCTGTGGTGGACTCTGTGGAAGGAAAAAAATAATCATTAGCAGGCATAACTGTTTTCTCTAATCACCAATTTCCAGCTCCTTTGAATCGTATTTCCTTACCTTCCATGGTGATATGCATTTTTGCAAAGGCATTAGACTTGCCACGTAACGTTCCTAGGGAAAGGAAAAAGATAGACTGTTTGCATAACCAGCACTAAAGATACACAATCCACGTGTATGTTTACTTATCACTTGTGACCACAGTATTTTCTCTTCTAAGTACTGGTACAGGGTGGGGCCATGCACATTTACCACACAGGAGCATAAGAAGGAGCTTATCTAATACCATTTGTATTTCCCAACTACAGAGCCTTATGTTGGCAAGACTCAAGAAGGACATGAGGGAAAGGACAGGAAGCAAATGTGTACATGGAATGTATATATCCTGAACTCCAGCCACCTGTAAATCATCTCTCTCTCTTTTGCTGACAGGTACCCTCATATCATGGGTTATTCCAAACAGCAATCCCACTTTATATCAAGTGTCTGGAAGTGTTTTTCCAAGTCCTTCATAGGAAACTTTATACCTACACTTGTAAGGCAAGGTTTGGTATTTATATATGCAAATTGGCCTTGTTCTGAGCAGTGGGTTTGGATCAGATGCCCTAGTTAACCTACATTAATCTCTGGTTTTATGATCTAGTGAAAAGTTCTGTACATGCTGGTTTTCCCCAAAGGTACTGAAGTGTTCGAAATAGCCATCCATGCTAAATTTAATTTGCCCGTTTTTTTCTGAAATAGCAGTAATAATGAGGAAAACTCAGATGAGGTAAGAGAAAGCAAATTCTGTAGCCCCTACTACATCATGTTTGCCATTAACATTACCGGACAGGAAGCGAGACAAAGATAAAGCTGAGTTTCATAATAATCTTTTTTTCCACTTCTAATCCCGCAAATACTGCAGTAATCTGAAGAAACAGTTGCCTTGTAGCCATCAAACAACTGCCTGAGGAGGTCTGACTGCTCAGATTTGTCTACCGCAGGTAAATCCAATGGCAAAACCCCTCCAAAATCAACAAAGAAAGTAAGAAAACCAAACAAAACCCAAGTTGTTTACTTTTGGAGACATTTTTCTTTGGAAGTCAGCAGAACACAGACAAAAATGGAGTTGCAAAGATAAGTAAGTCTGTGAAGAAGTAAGAGAAGTAAACTGATTGCCTAGAGGACAAGTAATGAAGTGCTCCATCTGGACAAGCAGATGAAAGGAACTGAGATGTGCTAGATATCTTCAAGCATAAATCAGTGAGTGCACAAATATAACTAGAAAAGGGAAAAATTCACTAAACTTTAATGATTGCATGGAAAAGCACCATGACTAGAAGACAGAATAAATATTTAAAGGAAAAAAAATGAGGCAGTCTAATTTACCAGTTGAATTGGTGGATTTTTCACTTTGTTAATAGAAAGATTACCTTCTAGTATCCCCTCAGCTACCACAGCAAATAGTAATTTGCTGTAAGAGTATAAGCTTACAGAGCTCTTCTCATTACAAAGTACTTTCCAATTCTACCTTTCCACTACTGACATTTCTCAAGGTCAAGGGCAACACTCTCGCACTTAGAAAAATATAAAATTCAAGAGTAGACAGAGGTTCCAAGTGTTGAGGGAGGATTAAAGAAATTTCCCTCTTGTTCTATGTTAAAATACACACACAGAGTTTTGCTTTGCATAAATGCTACACAATATATCACAAGCAAACATCTGAAAATGCTGTCTAAAAGCATAAGCATTCCATTTTGAGATCTGAACCTCTTGTCTAGGTATATAAATGTTTCATTAGTTTCATTTTTGGCATTAAGCTCTGGCCTCAATAAGTTTTATCTTAAGTATGGTAATTAAAGAATTGTAAGTCTGTAGTATTTTAGAAAAGCCAAGAGACCCCAGGGGTACACTGCTGGTTACTGGACAGTTCCTGCACTTACTCAGTCAGGGTAGTGCCAAAACTCCATATTACATTTGTAATAAACCCATTAGCTTAAGAACTCACTAATGGAATAATGAAACTTTCCGTCAATTCCAAAAAATAGCGCCGAAGAATCACACTCTGTGCTTCTGTAGGGCGTTTCTGTTGTACTCCCTTAAAAAGAAAGGGAAATGAATATTACAATAAGTCTGTTATCCCAAAATATGGAAGTAGTTGTGGGGTTTTTTTTAAAGAATATTTCAGTGTTTCTGTATTCATTTGTCATGAGCAGCCCCTTCCCTGAGCCAAGAAAGAAAAACAATGCAACGAGTCTTTTCACACGGATATTCATCCCTTCAATTGCTCATTTTTTACTTTCATGTTAAGAAATTCAAGGAAATTAAGATTTCTGCAAATAAAGCTTGGAAGCTCTGATTCCCACACACCTCATGTGTGAGATTTCTACACCAAAGAGACTAGAGGGAGATGGCAGAAGGTGGAAAACCCACAAGAGATGAACTGATAAGTCACTTTAACTCTCCAACTTACTAAGATAACTTCTTGAGCTCTACTGTTCATGTTGTTATGGACACTGCTAACAACGCAGCAGCTCTGCTTTACACAACAAGATTGCGCATCTATCCAGTTATGAATTGGGGCAAAGGAATCAGAACCCAGTTTCATTTCACTTACACAGAGCTCAGCCTTAAATGAAGACACTGTATGAGAGTACACAGAACAGTTTCCATTCAGAAGAGACTTGCAGTATTACCTTTTGTAGCTGCTTAACTATTTCTTCATCTTTGTTCAAGTATGGCTTGTAAGAGGTATAAACACCTAAAGAAAAAAAGAGGCACATAGCCAAAGGAAAAACTAGGTATGCTTTTTACAGCTTAAACATTGCTAGTTTAACTCCGAAGCAACTTGTTACCAGGTTTGGAGTCCAAAGTTTTTAGGTTCTTCAGTTTTTTCACTTTCACCTGCTTTGGAACTTCACCTGCCAAAACATTTAAAGCCACCTTACTTGAAACCTCCACCTCTATTTCTAGAATATTTCTAGTGTATTCAGAAATGGAATGTAACTTCTTTTAGAAAAAATAATTTGATGGTGTATCATCCTAACTGGGTATTTATGCATTCCCACCGTCAGACAAACAGCTACATTTAGCAATTTCATACGGCAATTAAGAGTACTGCAGTATGTTATTACAGGCAAGCAACTGACATGTTATCCAAAGATCACATTAGAATTCTACTCAATCATGTAAAGAAATCATCCAGCTTGAACAATTTAGTAATGGTATACTGCCAGATGAGAATTATATCATCAAAATGCTGTCAACAAAAAACCTCTTATAGTAGCACTCAAACTTAGCGTTCACAAGGGTCTTTCTGTGCGCTTCCTGTGACTGATTTATTACATTCTACTCACCCTGAAATTAATCAGTGGCAGTAATAAATTATATTTCTCATTTTAATACCTTATTGGTAGAAATTCAAAACCAAGATTGTGTGAAAAGTAAAACATTGAGTATTACCACCTTTTGCATTTACTATACTAGATTTGGCAATACAAGACATACAGTACCGAAGAGCCTAATTTCACTTGACAGATTTACATCCATAAGGATTCCATTAGTATTAAACTAAATTAATTGAACTACATAAGTCTGTAAATAAAAAAGCACACAATTATATCTTGTCACACAGAATTGTAGAAGATACCGTACCTGGAAGTTTAAGATCTCCAATTCGGATAATATGAGGCCAGTGCTGAAGTGTTTTAGCAAAAAAAGGATTTGTCACCCCTAGAATGACAGATGGTCTAGAAAAATAATGACAATATTTAAAATATGACAGCAGGAGCTTCTGTCTTAATGAATAACAAAAGGTCAACTTTCATTCTTAACTTGAAATTATTTTCCTTTTGTATGGGAGTTACATTTTAAGTTGCATGTAACAGCATAGTACGTTTGTCAGTTTTTGACTTCAAGAAATAGCAAGATTGATGTATCATGAAGCCCAAACAGTAGTGGAGAATAAAAGCGATGACATTTGCTTAGACTCTTGGCTAAATTCTGCCCCTTTGCAATGATGACAACAAGGTATCACCTGATTTATTATCTGACTTCTTTTTTAAACAAGCAGGAATCTGACCTGTATTTGAAAGACAAATTGCTACTTTTAAGGTTAGATTACCACAAACGCTCAGTACTTTAATGTGCACGTCAACATGACTGCTGCGTACATGAGACTTCTCAGTAGAGCTCCCTGAAATTGCTCATCTCTCACTAAAGGTAATAACATACACAGATTCTGCATCATCTGGATTCTCCCCCTTCTCAGAGCCACTGCTTTAAAAGCCTGTTTGCTATCTATCCATTTTTCTGTTGTTTTCTGTAAGAAAGCCAGAGCAATTCCAGCTTTGTTTCAAATCCTAATGTACATACTGAACAACCTTGCTGTTTTGCTAGAGAAACAGATGCAAGCTTTAAACATGGGCTACTAAAGTTTAACCAAATTCTTTCTGCAATTATTTTTAGAAACTAAATTACATACTGCATAACCATTCCCACGGAATACAATCAGAAACACAGTGCCTGTGTTTGTATGTTTTGTCCACTGCTGTATGTCTGGCAATATTTCTGTTGAGAAGAAAAGCACAAAAACCACCCCAAACCATGAAACAAACAAAAACCACAACAACCACCACTGCCTGTTCAGACATTAGAAAAAACGTATAAAGTGATCACTGAATCTAACACATGCACTCCATTCCCAACTCAAGTTGCATTTAAATAACACAGAATAAGAAATACTGGAGGTTTGTGGTCTCAAAATAAAGGCTACATTTAAAAACACAAGAAGGGGGTGGGGTGGAAGTGTGTCCTTAAAGCAGTTTCAACAGAAATGTTTTTGTAGACGTTGCTCTTAAAAAGTAATCTGAATTTCTGAATTATTTACAACATTTTCCTAATAAATTTAGTGAAGAGATATTTGCTTTTCCAATTATAGTCAAAACTATGACACTGATTGGATTAACTTTACAGAACACCTGTATGGATGTTGAATTGTAGAAGTCACTTTGTTTAGTAATTGCTTAAAACTAAAAACAATTATGGAACAATTTCCCAAGGAGTTACAAAGGACCTGGCATAGCACAGACAGACCCTTATGGAAAGGCAAAACTTACTCTGTACACAAATATCCTGTGAAACTCAAATGTAGTTTGACATTGTTACAGAACTTCTTTATGCTAACTTGAGTGAAAAACTTAAGAACCAGCTATTTATTACACTATATGAAGATAAATCTTATTTATAAGGAGTATAAGTGTAATTCTCTAATGACAGAAATTCAGACTAGTTAAGCAGTATCTTGAAACAAAGTTACAAGTAGCTTTCAGCAACACTTTCACAACAAAGCTTAATTTACTTACGGGGCTTGTGTGCGAGTTGTATACTCTTTGAATTCACTGTCATGTATGGTGAAATATGGCCTGAAATCACTGCAGTACTTTAACGGTGAAATACAACTGCAAGGTAGAAAGACGATAAACTTTTATGTGTATAGTGCAAAATCTTGTGGTAGACACAAGCAAATCTAAAATCTGTAATGTTTTGTTATATTCAGATCAATCGTTGCACTCAGCTGCAATGTACAATGGCTCAGTCATTAGTTAGGAAGCTCCACTACATTTACCTAACAAGTGCCAACACGGTTTCTGAAGACTCTGATGGTGATGGTGCCATCACAACAAGTGGTTCTCCTAGTAGTACTAGTTCCCAAAGCATCTGGATGTGAAAGAACACTGGACAGAAACACCTACAAACAGATTGAGGTATTTTAATACACTTAACATAACCAGAAGATACACATACTTGATTTAGAGCTGGATAAAAAGGAAGTTTGCAGTAGTATTTAACACTCATTTGAAAAATACGAAATACTCTTGTAAAATGGAACATTTAATGAACTTGCTTATTTACTGCTGTTTCAGCCCACATATTAATCAATAGGATCATATTGCCTGATGGTTTTTAGCCAGCTTTACAGAGAAAGAATATTAAACAATACTGATGTTGGTTTACAAGCTACAAGATACGCGTTATGGAACCATCACACATTTTTGGCTTGTGGGAATTCACAACTGGAAATAAGCCAGTCCAAATTCTTACCTGAAAAGATCTACTTCATGAACAGTTGGTAAAGCCATGGAGATCTGAGCATCTGCCTAAAAGACATCGCAATGCTTGGTTTTTTTAGTCATCAGAATTCCTAGGTATTAAATGAAATAGTTTCCCTTAAATGCTTACAGAGATTATTTAGTACTAATTATTTACTACTGCAGTATATACCACATTATTTCCACAAGTAACTCTTTTTGTGTGCTAAAAGAAAGATTACCCCCAACACACACACCATCCATGGGCATGCAACTATCAGTTCAGAAAAGAGAAAATACTGAACCTTTTTTAAACAACACAGCACAGGAAAGCACAGAAGAGATTTGGTTTATATCCACCTTCTATGACTAAAGATTTTTAATCCAATTTTCATCCTCAGAAAGCCCCCAAACCAGTTCATCAGTATAGTTTCACCCATTAAAGGGACGTTCAAGTTTAGTAATTTTGTCAGCCAACTATCTCTTCCGGGAGCTGGACATCCCTCTTCTAAAGTACCTGGGGTAGAATTCCTTTTCTACAAAGAATCCATAGACTCCTCCACTCAAGGTTTCAAAGACTGTGGATTTCATTAGTATCAAAGTATAAGAGAATTTGCTATCAACCTTTTATGAACAAGTTCAAAGTAAAAGAATGAAGGCAGGTATTCGGGTCTGTCTTGGTGTTATATACAAGTATCTCATCTCTACCTGGTGCATATTCTGTACTACTGGCGTTGTTCCAGGCTTGTCACGGTATGTTGGAATTCGCAACTAGGAAAGAAAAAGAAAGATTTTTTTTCCTTGCATCACATTCAACAGAGACTTAAAATGCAGACTTGCAGACAAAATGTAACATTTAAAGAGGCTTTACTACAGTACAATGGTTGACTGTCTCTATAAACAACCACATAATAGTGAATACATAGCTGAAGACTTCAAATCACCACTACAGAAATCAATATGCAACACTTTCTAGTACTACATTGTCAGTTGAGTATTAGAACATTAAAACTGTACCTCAGTTAAAAAAAAAGACTATTGAGAACATTAGTCACAACTAATTTCAATAAAAGTATGTTTAAATGTTGGAGAGAATGATCTGAAATAAGGTTGTGGGGTTTTAGGGTGGTACAGAATTACTTCTAGAAAAATTCCTCTCTTAAAAAAACAGATATCCTGGTGGGTATAAGGCAGAATTCAAATAGACTGAACAACATAAATACATTTTTCTGACCTCACAGTCTCCATCTAGAAGTTGTGATTGCTACAGATTTAATCATACTGGAAACTGGTGTGCACAGATGGATGCAATTTATACTCAACAATTAGAAGTGACTGCCCAGACTGTGAAAAACCAGGGGCAGTATCACTGAAAACAGTAATTATGGCTTTACTCACCTTAGGAATACAATTTCAACTCTCATGGATAAAAATTACAGCTGAGATAAATACAGGCAACACCCTAACAAGACATATCTGACATTCCCCATTATCACCTAGCATCCAGAGCACCGCTTTATTAAATCTGTGCTTTCAGAACAGCTTTAGAAACTTCTCCTTCCTCTCCCTGGTGACGTACACACATCTAGCCATAAACTTGAGAGTATCTACTAAGAATGTACTTCTGACTGTAATCTCTGGATCCATCAAATCCATTTAATTGTGTTTCATACAATGATGCTATGGCTCCCAGAGGCCAAGTTCCTAAGCACCATTTAATCTCTACAGTTCCTCACCACGCACTAGATACACCTTTAACAGCTCTCTTCAGATGCATTTTATTTTCATTGAAAATTATCAACAGACCAAGAAATTAATTTCTGGTGTGAGGGCCAAAAAAATAATTTTTACTGTCAAAATTTGGGAACAAGAATGATTTTTCATCAATATATTTAATTTGTTTGACTGGAACTTAATTCTCATTATTTTGAAGTGTAACTTAATGTCTGATTTGGCAAATATAATTAGCATTAAAGTCTCCTAGAAACCCCAAAGGATAATACAGACACTGCACTAGTAGCTGTATTGAAGCACTGATTGTTAATATCTACAAAAATTACATGTTAACTTATGCACCACAAGAGATCCTCCTCTCCTTCACCCACTGAGAAGCCTCATCAAAATCTCCCAGACCTTCCCTCTGAGTTGAATACACACCTACTCCTATTCTGAAGTAGGAGACACTGAAAACAAGGCAGAATACAGTGAGTACCTACACAGTAAATGGAGGGGAAAACACCCTTGAACAAAAGTAAGTGCGGGAGTATTTACCTTCATTATAATACCCATAACAGGCAAATGCAGTATTTTCCCTGGAATTGGTGGTGGCCAATGGTCAACATCACTACAAACTTAAAAGAAAATAAAGTATAATTTAAAACAATCTTATATATGCTACAACTCATAGTACTTGTAGTCACCTCTGTGTACATGGAAATCTTCAATTAGTGCCAATAGCCCACAACACTTCTACTCATCACTTGGTAAGTTCTGAACTCTAAAGAAGTTTTACAGCCTTTTTGACATTCTTAATGTATTATTCAATTAGAATTATAAAGCTTTTCACTTCAAAGAAAGAGTATCCTCTTGTCATCCAGTTTTTTGTAACAACTAGAATTGCAATGAGTTGAAGAAATGTTTTATGAGAAATCATGAAAATACACATAAAGAAACTGGGAAAAGAAAATATATTTACATACATTAGCCAGTGTAAAACAGATAAACTCAAGTAGTTAACGAAAAAAGCTGCCTTTCTAGCTTGGCTAGAAAGTTTTTTAGCATTTTGCTGTAAATAATTATGAATACCATTACTAATTTTAGTAGTTTCTGCAGACTTTCGTTCATAACAATCTGTCAAAACCCTGTTTACCTACAGGTCATTAAAAAAATACAATCCCTTCATCAAGAAAGGTTTCCACGAACTGCTACTTGGTGAAAGCACAAAGACATGAATGTTGTGTAGGGCAGACACAGTAAAAGGACTAGACACTTCTAGGCAAAGAGTAAATCACTTTCCCATCTGGCCCTCTCTGGCTCTTCAAGTTCTACAGTAAGGCTGAGGAACCTGTTACCAGCACTGTTACCAAAAAACCCCATGCAAGACGACATTTGTACAGTTGCTTAAAGGCTGTCAGAATGCCCAAAAGGACTCAGTTTTGAAGACTGCAATCAGCTACTTGTGCTGAGCAGTGGTCCTGAAACAAACCACAAAACCCTAGGTGAATTTTAGGAGGGAGCTTCAATTCTCCCATGGAAGATTCAAAATTAGATTAGCTCTGTTCAATGACCTAGAAGTCAAGCCAGGTTGCTGAAGTTTCAACCTTCTACCCTGCAAGAAGACAGAAACACAAACTAGAATGTGACAATGTTGTTTGTTATCTCTCCAAACGAAGTATGTGATATTCTAAGAGCTCTTCCAGAACAACACAATAGGACCAGTACCTGCTTCCAGGAAAGCTTCACTTTTTTCAAAATACTCTGGAGCTATTTGCTTAAGCATGGTGCGGAAGAGATGGACGTAAGGCAGCTTGCTGATCAGGACCAGCGACTGCAATAGAGTAACAAAACACAAATGTAACTGTAAGTTAAGTTTCCACTCAGTTCTGGTGCAGTTCTACTGCTTATCCTCAGAGAACATCAAGTGTGATTCTTCTCACACATGCAAGCCAATCATGCACGTGACTACAAGCAACTACAAACAAACTAACTTTGTTCTGACAGCGCAGCTGGAACGTAGCATACCTGATACAACATTAGGCCAATTTACCATAAACCAACAACGAATTTAGTTAAGAGAGCAAGATATTCTTCCTGCTCCTCTGAGGTCACTGAAAAATAACTAATTTCTGAATTAACATTTCCTAAAAGAATTTAAATTACCTTCTGGAAATAGCCTCTTTTTAATGATTTGTCTCGAACTTGTCTGAAATATACATAGCCATAGTAATAAGCTGGATCTTTCTGCAAAAGAAGGGAAAAAATTCAATACAACAACCTGATGCAGCCCTTTGTTATATAGCATTCTATATGCTTTTTAAAAGCTTATTTCCCTGCACGCTCCAAAGTTGGTTACATACAATAAACTAGAAGGATTACTCTGTTTAATGGCATTACCTTTTTAATAATTACTTCAAAGAGAAAACACCAGCGTGTGCAAACAGCTGAGCTCTCTGGCCTTACTATTTTTGTATCTACAGTCTCCTGACAGAAAACGAAAGCAAAAAATAGAAATAATTTCCTGAGGAATAAATCAAGTCATAATTTTGCAAAGTAGCACTAAAGCGATTTTAGCAGTTAAAAACCTTAAAGCCCTGACTTGAATAAGCAAAAACTAGTCTTTTAAAGTACCAGTTTTTTATAAAGACTCTTGCAATATTAAAGAAGAATGCTCTCACATTTCAAATATAAAACATCAGCTTCATCCTTCCTACAAAGAGGAATTCAAATATTTGCCACAAACAGAATCAGACTCCCACTAACATAGTTAAAGGCCTCAATATTCCATATGGACATGAGGAGAATAACTTTTAGGCCATTACCTCTTCCAAGTAACTGCTCCATCTTCAAAAAATGAAGGGTGGAAAAAGAGAAAGACATCTCAATTTCCTTGGCTGTGTTTTTTTTTTTTCTTCCTAAAGTTATAAAGCTCTTCCGATTTCAGGTTTCTAGTCAGTAACAAAATCGGTCTGGTCTTCAATTTAATTCCTTGCAATCCAAAACCCATAGTAATTAAACTTAGAGAACAGTTAACTAATTGTTAGTTAATTGTTATGACAATGACCTGGTACAAAAAGCATTTGCTAAGCTTTGTCTTTCAGGACATTGAGTTCCAGTTCAGAGATTCTGTTTTACAAGCATTAAATTTAAGTGTGAATACCCATAAATTAACATTATCCAGAAGAAATTAGCTTCTTCTTTTCTTATATCCAACCTTTAAGTAAACTGGTAGATCTCTATCCAGCTGGTCCAGAAAACAGCAGAATGAGACTTTCCTTCCAGGAGACCGTCGAAATCTAAAACAAAACTGTGTGTCCCCAAGACAACCTACATAGGGGAAGAGATAAAGAAGTAGACAGTATTCTGACTTCGAGCCTTCTTTAACATCAGGACTTGCGTACAGCCAAAGAGGTACAGCAGTTTTGCTTCATTTATCTTGTACTGCTGTGACCATTTCTCTGTTTATATACTTCAACGTGAACAATCTGGCATCTTCGGCAACAATAAATATCCTGCCTTCAACAAGAAAAAAAAAGCCTGCCTCACAGTGAGTTTAAGACTGTCATGTCCTTAAACACCTCTGCCAGTGGCTGTCACAGAACTGCAGACTGGTTTGGGTTGGAAGCAACCTTAAAGCTCATTCAGTTCCAATCCCCTGCCCTGTTATTACACATTTTACTGATCTCCCTGTGTAGTCCTGATCACCTTAATCAGGACATTTCTCTGTTTAATGACTGCACTCAGCCTTTTTTTTGACACCAAACAGTTCCTATATAGTCACACTATAAGAGTGTATTATGCTGATTATGATGTGCAGGTGTAAGACTCACTATTTTTGAAAGCTGCAAAACTTAACTGCAGAGAACTGAGTGAAACTGAGTACCACTTCTCAGTAATATTCCCGAAGACTGGAGTTTTCCTTCATTTATATAAAAATCGACTTCTAAAAGAAAAAAATGTAACTAAGTATATTGACTATTTGCAGTCTGAAATTAATGTGGGCTAAGTTTGTATCAGATATCCAAGAAATTTTCTCCAGGTGGAATATGAGACCTGCAGTATCAGAACTTATATTACTCATACTCTCATGGCTGCTCTCTCTCACCATTACAAATGTTGTCTGCTGTTAGGAGAAACTTCAAAGAGACTTTAGCTCAAGTAGAAGCTATATAAAGTCAACAGAACGTACTGTTCATGGGAGCAGTGATAAGGTGGACTGCTAGAATCTGAAGAACACACAGATAAATTACTCATTCTAGCAAACCTGTAATAAAAAGTCCCTTTGAAACACAGTGTTACTAACAGAACACAAACAAAGACACTCTCCTGAGCATTGCCAATCTATGACAAGCAGACTGCCTTCGCTGTAACAATGAACATGCTCATAACTATAAAACCCAATCTATTATTATATTTGCAGCTACTATTATGCAAGGTGACTACAGCAGCAAGTTTCCAGCTGGCAAAGGACACTTCCTTCTCCATACTGCATCTAAATGCTCCATAAGCACTTTGCTCTTGCAGCTTTTGGACATAATTTGCAAAGATCTCCAGGAAGAAAATGAAGTCACTACTGAGCATCTCAACCCTTCACAGCTATTGCGTCTTACATCAGCCAGTGCTAACAGTAAAGCAGAGCTCCGTTCTCCAAGTAATATTCTACAGATTTCAAAGCTCAATTTCATCTCCCCTTTCAGTTACATACATACTGCTGCAGCACCCCCAGACAGCCCAAACCCACAGTCACATTCGTTGGCTGTCAGTGTGATGAATACTTGCACGTTCAGCACATTCCAGTCTAAGTCTTAGAAGCCCTTGAAGTGCAGCAGGAGGAAACCCACAATGAAACAAAACAAAAGAGAAAGCAGAAAAACGTGTATGGTGAGATAACCTTCCAATTCAAACAGGGAACTAAAGCAAGAGCTTATCAATATGGATCCAATTGTAACAAGAAAAAACACAGCACTTGCCAGTAACACAGCACTGAATATCTGCTGCAAGTATTCATAGCTGGCTCCCTCCATCCAAAGCAAAAAGAAAAAAAATTATGATAAAAAGCTATACACAGAAAACCTGAAAGTAAATTACTCTTAATCATTAATATATTGAAGTATCATTCAGCGCATGATGGTTTCTTATTTAACAAGCTTTTCCTGTATGTAGAATCTGAGAAGACTGGTAAATGTCAGTCTTTCAACTAACTATACAGAAAAGGCAAAAATCATTATTTTAATGATAATCGTAATAGAAAACTTAGTTTTAGAAATCCATTTCCCCCCTAGATTCACAGTCACTGCAAATCCCAGAATGACACCGATTTGTTGTTGTAAAAGAAAACATTAGAAAGGTTGAATTAATCTTTTGAGCCATGAACAGCCAGGAGAGATGGACCTCAAACCTAGCTGCAAGCTGTAACTTCCTTCACTGTTGTGTTACACAAAGCTTTCCTTTTAATGTTACAGCCTAAAATGAAGAAATAAAGTGTAAGAGCACACACTCCTAGATGATTTCTAGAACACAGAGGTAATCCCTTTACATAATTTCAAACTTCAGCCTGCCACGAGTGATCAAGAACCTGCAGGTTCTTCGTAGGAACATTATAAAAAGCAACAAGGTGGTATTTTTTTTCCCTGCTGAAAGTAAACACTCTTTATGTACATCTATTCCGCCTAAAATAACTTCACTACCACTCTTATTGAGAGAATCAAAAAAAAAAACCAAAACCCAAAATACCCAAAAAGCAAATAAAACAAACCCCCAAAACAAACAACAAAAACAAAACAATCCCACACCACAAACAACCCTGCCAAAATTTTGAAGATCAACCTTTGTTCCCAATGCATTATTTTGTACCTTCAATACACCTTCAGAAGGCTGGACAGATTTAACACCATTAACAAGAGTAATAGAGACATCTTCTCTTTTAGTAATAGAAAGAAGCTCTTCCTCTGTTTGCATACAAGATATAAAGAACAGAGAAAATATCTTGATTCTAATGACACTGAAACAAAGGAAAAAAAGCAGCCAAGATATTCTGTAAGGAAGCACTCACAGGCACACTGAAAGCACACATCTGCATCACCCTGTATCAGTTATGCTGCAGAACAACCCAAAGCACAGAGTAAGAGCAGCTATAGGGACAAGTCTGTTACTACAGGTTTTGACTTTTGTAAAGTAATAAATGCAAAAGGAAGTGTCTGTACTTCTGCTGTATCTTTCTGCAGGTGGTCCAAGTCATCAGCCACAAGCCTCCAATTTCTCTTTGGCAGCAGAACAGTAGTCGTTGAGATTAAAGAAGAATTTAACAAGCAGGACCACACACAGCAACAGAAGGATGAAGAATGGAGAAGATACAGCCTAGGTTCTCCCTTCACAACTGCTCTTTCTAAATGTCTTTGAATTTAAAAGTCAGTTTCAGTGTTATGAATTTAGAAAACATATTACTCTCTTATGAGCAGGGGGTTCCATAACCCTTCCATTTGCTTTATTAAACCCTTCCGATTCTGTGCCTACACTCCTCTCTGCAATGACGATATCATTACTTTGTTTAAAACAAATTCAAGGTGTTCATTCTTTACTTGCAAAGCATTCTGAAACGTCTGCATGTGTGTCATCTGGATGGTCTTACACATTCACATTTCTGATATTTCACTTACATAGAAGAAAAAATGAATTCTCAGACTTTACTGCAATACAGGTACAGTTTTATATCTAACCTTATTTGCAACTTTTCTGTAATGTAGCATTAAGATATTCATATAAGTATTTACTCTAAAACCATGAGTATATGCTGTCAAATTCTACCTTTTTTAAACATAGCTAAGTCCAACAACAGATGACCAAAGAGTGAAGGAAGCACTTACCTGAATTAGAATCTGGAAAAGACAAATAGCAAATATTGGTTTTCTAAAGGGTGGGGAAAAGAAAAGAGTTGTTATATTTCCTGAAATCATTAAACTAAACCCAAATTATATGTATTTATACAGGAACCACGACTTACCTCTTTATCTGTGAGTTTTGAATGTGGAGGATATATTACCTACAGGAAAAAAAAGTAATATTATATTTGTAAGTAAACTGGGTACAAGCATTAAGCTTCTATTAAATATTTGTATGATACAATACTCCAATACCTGGCTAGCCCTAGGCTATTTTCAGTGGTAAGCTGTTAATACTACGTCTCTGTTCTTGTCTCAAGCTAACTTTATCACCTGTCTTTCCAAGGTACTTTGGATGCCAGTTGGAGACCATAGTGATACATTAAAGAATTCAGAGTACAGAGATTTTTGGCGCAACAGGTCTCAAAGGAGAGCAAGATGACATCCTTAGACTAAACTTGTATATGCAAAATGCAGCAGATAATTTCACAGAAATCCAACAATACATTATTGTCTGATAACTATCCATTGAAACAGATAGGTGGGAGTAATGAAAATTCAGTCACCAAACACTCTCTATATTAACACTAACTCTTGGAGGGTGAACACATGCCCTAAATAAGAGCTGGAAACTGTGAAAGCTGAAGATATCCACTCAAAAAGCCATAGCTTTTGTACTCACAGAAAGAAAAGTAAACTTATTTAATGTATTACTACAACACAGAAATCAAAACCAATGCAACACAATGTAAGATACGGAAGTACCGTCATTTGAAAAAAATCTGGATGTACAAAATCAGTGATTATGCAAGTTAAGTGAAAAAAGAACATCCAAGAAAGAGGACAAACCTGAAATACTTAAGTTTCATCTTAAAAGTTCCTCCTCAAATGCCTACAACTACTGAACTGGGTGGCTAACTTGTAAGCAAAGGAAATTCAACATAAATTCAAATATTATATTTCAAAAAAGGTTTCGGTGCTTCCATAAATGGGAACAGAAGTCCAATGCAAGAACACTGACTTCCTCTAGAGTCCTCATATTACCACACTGCTAACATTGTTACCTAATTAATCTTGTTTGACAAACATAGGCACATGTATCTCCTGATAACATAACGCTGTCTTACCCCACAGAAAGCATCAAATACCTTCACTGGCTGGCCTCACTGAGCAGGCTTTCCGTCCCCTGGCCATTAAGTCTCCAATTCATTTATTTTCTTTGATCCAGTGATGTCCAGACATACAACATACTATTATCATAACTAAAGCTGAAAGTAGACATACAAGTGGAACATCTGTGTACTGCATTTAATAAACCCATCATCATCCTTTTTAATCTCTTAACATACTCCCATGCTACCGTACACCAAGCAGTACACTCAAACATAGCTCTTCTAGCAGGTGAACAATGATGACCTGCACCTTGTCACATGACTCAAGTACAGGCCAGACTTGAATTCATACTCCTTTTCCTCACTAGCTGGTGGATCTTCACAGAATTTAAAGTGAAACTAAAAGCCACTCTTCCTGCAGCAATGTAACTGAAAAAAATCAGCCCTTAATAATACAGACATTTGAAGTTTCATTTTGTGTATCCATTTAATTCTTGTTAACAAGAGTTGTCTGCAGACAGGACAGAGGCTACTCTGTCCTGTCTGCTCACCCACAGAGCCTGTAACCCATTTAAGTCACAGGTTATAAAGAAATGTCTGTGTTCCTAACACCTTATTGCATCAAGTGAATATAACGTGAATAATTAGTACAGCAGGCTTCCTAACAACACCTTATATCAAGTGAATATAACATGAATAATTAGTACAGTAGGCTTGGGTTTTATTTGCATTTCTTGCCGCCAACAATACATATCAATTATGTATTTTAAATATTGCAATAGCTAGCTTGGCTGAATTTTAGGCCAGTCTGCCATACCATTTTAACAACAACAAAAAAGAAAGGAAAAAAAGGACATTTTCCCCTCCCCACCGATTGTTTGCCACAGTCATTCAGCGAATAGGGCGAAACAGGATGTGAAATTGGTCCCAGTGAAAATGCTCCTTTCCAGTTTGTTTTGCAGCCTAATCAGTTCCCCAGTGTGTTTCCGTAAGCAATGTCACAGATGTTCGCCTGTTGCGCAAAATGGCAAAGAGCAGCAGTTCAGCACCTGCAGCCTGTGCAGTGTCTCAGTCTGACGTTCATTAACGGTGCAAGGAAAATGCTTCTAACATTAGAGAACTGAAGTCCTCAGCGATCCGAAGACTGTAATTATGAAGACTACTTGTGCTCGCAATGTTATTATTACACTACCTTGAACTCTTTAACATCCAGATGCTACAGAAATCACTGCTAGCCGTACACAAAAGAGGTGACACCCTACCACCCCAGCCGGTACCTCCAGCCCCCCGGCTGTGTCTCACGCAGCCGGGGACTTCGTGCGGCCGTTCCGGGCTCCCCGCCGGACCGGACCCCCCCGGGGCCGCCGCTCGGGGTTTTGCACAACCGCGTTTCCCTCAGCACACCGCCGAGCTTCCCCAGCCGCTCAGCAACACCCACCCAGAGGAAGCGCCCGATTCCGGCGGGGTCCCGCCGCTTCACGTACCTCCACGGCCTGGCCCAGCTCCAGGTCGAAGCCCACCACACACACGCAGTGCAGCCAGGCCGAGAAGCGGTCCCAGGGCAGCAGCGACAGGCACCGGTCCGAACCGTCGGGCTCTGCCAGCGCCTGTGCCGCATCCTCCCCGTCCTCGACGACACGGCCCGGGCTGCGCTCCCGCAGCGACATGGCGCTACCGGCACCGCGCCGGCTGCAGGCCCGGCCCCGCCGCGCCCGCCACGTGACTCCCGGCGCACCGCCCCCTCCGCGCTCCCCCGCGCACCGGAGCCTCCGGCAGCGGAAAAGTCCACGCAGGCACCGGGGGAGAGGGGGCGCGCAAAGCTCGAACCATTGCTGCGGGAGACGGGGGGTGGCGGCAGCCGGAAGAGCGCCCCGCCGCGGCCCGCAAGGGAACAGCTGGCGACTGCAACGCTCTCGGGAGTCGTAAACAAGCGCGGGACCGGCTGCCGAGGGACGTCATCCCGCGCTGCCGCTGGAGCAGCCTCGCCCCGCACAGCGTCACCCACCACCCACCGCCGCCGCGCCTGGCCGGTAGCGCAGGGGCCTCGGCGGGCAAAGGATCGCGGGCAAGAATTGCCCCTTCCCTGCCAGGCGTGCTCGTGAGCAGCGCCTGCACGAGAACGGGGCTGTCACGAGGTAATGAACTGGCGCGGAGCATCCGCAGGCTGAGGGACGCACAGCCGCATCCTGCGCGGGGAGTCGGCGTAATAAAAGCAAACCCGACGGCATGGCCTGAAAGCGATCTCGGCACCTTCGCCAAGAGAGGAGCACCTTAATGAATAATGAAAGAGCTTTCAAATACACTTTCAGCACAGGCCATGTCCCATTTATATTTCAGTAGGAAACAGTTTAAGGAGTTGGAAGAGCTAAATAGCTACTTTATTAAACAAACAAAAATCACACCCATACCCCACAGCTCCCGACCTGTAACTCCCATTATTCGGTTACTCACACTATGATCCTGGCTGACTGCTGCTAGAACTGCTGCAACCGCAGTAGGTGCAGATGGACTGGTTGCCTGAATTACTGCGTGCCCTTTTTTTTTTGCCAACACAGGTTGCAAATATCCAAACCAAGATGTGGTATCTTGGATTTGTATCCTGTATATACATAATAGAACATTTACAATTCCTTAGATGCACTAAGACCTATTAATAACATTTGTTTATCAAAGCCAAACTGCTCAAAATTAAAGAACCCTTTGATCATGACAGTAATTACTTAGACAAAGGACTAAACATACAGCTCAGACGAAATTATAACACACAACATTATCACTGTAATAATTTAAGATACAGCAGCCTTTGGTTATCATAAACCATTAGTGGCAAAGGGAATTTCAGATATAAACCAAGAGGTGGGCAGAGCTCTGCAGTGTGCAATGGGAGTGGCTGAATCAGGATGCTCCCGCTGCCTCTACTCACTTCAGGTGTTCTACCATAATGCCACGGAAGAGTCATGAACATTGCCAACAGTTACCTCCAGAGTTCTGTAACAAGTTACTATCCAGAGTAAGAGAGGGCTAAGACTTGGCTTCCTCAGGTTTAACTCAGAGCAATGACTCTGCAGGGGTGTTTCATTTTCTGTTTCCATTTAAGAGCTTAAACAGGCCCTGGCCAGAAGCTTTTATCACTGGGTTTAAGAAAAGATGCCATCTCATGGCTTTGTACACACATTCCCTTGCTTATAGTGTTATACTTTGCCTTGTTTACCTTCTAGCTATCATGGGCAGAACAAAATTTTAGCCATTATTATAATGCTTTCCCTTCTATTTTTTTCTGGCCTCTATAAAGTTTTCATGTGAATAAAAAGTATAAATATATATAAGTACAGGAAGAATAAAGTACTTTGTAAGACTGATATTCTCTGCTCATTTTGTTAAACAATAGCCAGTTACTTAATTCCACCTGAAGCTCAGAAATAACCTCTTGGAAGAGAAAGAAAACAGAGACAGGATCTTCGAGAAAGAAGCCACTGAAGATGAGAGGATTCTCACCTAAAGAAGATATTCCCAACGACCATGGAAACAGCCACTGAGGAGGATTTTCACCTCGCCATTCCAAATACAATTTTGTTTTGGTACAACACGATGATCTTCAGTTGAGAAAGGATGTCAGCTGCTTAAGAAAAGAGTAAAAAAATTATGCATATATTTTAGGTTTTGCAATGTTCAGAACAGTGGAGACTGCTTTTGCCTTCAAGAAGCACATCAGTGCAGGACAAAAGAGACTTCAAAGTTAGAAATCTATTACCTGAGTATGCTTTGCTACAGACAGTTAACAGTCTCATGCAATAGTAGGGCACTGCATATGGACTTTGCCCGTACAAAGCTCTATGAACTCCAATTTTGCAAAAAGAGAGCAGTCTGTTCATAGAAATATATTCATCAGGGTTTGGACAAGAGCATTTTCTAGAAAAAGCATGCCCTGTGAAGCTGGGATGTCCATTGCTGGAATAAAAATGAGCACAGACTTCTGTGGGGCAGCTGGATTCTAAAGATCCAAAACCGTTCAGCATTTGAGCCCATCTTGCTTTCTTTCACCCTCTGTCTTTCTTCTACAGCTGTTATCTCTACTGCTCCATCTGCCTCTCTCAGCAGGGTACTCTCTATCAGGTAGCAGCAAATGCTGCACTGGCTGCTGTTGGCCAGCATTCATCAGCTTTGGTAGGGAGTGACTGTGCAGGCTGCTCACATCCATTGAGGAACACCAAAGAACTGGATAAACATCTGCTCATCTCACCCTCCCTTCTCCACCCCCTACCTTGAGAATTCAGTTTAAAGCAGTACTTCATTTGTATTTGAACATTAGATCTGGTCTAATAAATAACTTTATTTCAAGCAAACAAACAAAACCCAGAAATGTCATACTTATTTTTAAAACACTTTTCCTTATTTTTTAAACAGTCACAGAAAACATCAAACATTTCAAAAAGTTAACTTCACATTAACAGAAAAGCAACTGAGGGCTGGTTACATGTTCTACTAAAATGATAAAGCAGTGAAAATACCAGATATACAAACTCACCTGATTTCCTTAGAAATGAAGAAACATTGCATGTAAAATTATTTATACATTGGCATAATACTGCATTAATAGTATGCAAGTTACATTATACTCATTTATATATACCGTATATTATCAACATATATACAATGTATATGATATATAGTGTATATATCTATAAATATTTTACATAATTGCATAAACATATGCATGTATTTAATATAATGCAAATTAAATAACATATTCAACATACACTTACTATGTATATTACATTAATATAATTGTTAGTAAGATACTCATTTGTATACTGTGTAGAAATATCTTTTAATAAGCAGGGAAGTATCTGAAGGAAAATGAGAAATGGAGAATTGACTGACAAGAGATGATTAAACCAGCAGAGTTGCTTATTCTTTAATGCTTGAAGATAATGCAATTGTTCTTTATATTGAGAGACTTAAAAGATCAGGAACAGAAAATAAGTCTGAAACTAAAGAACGATGATAGTGCTACAATTAAAGAAGTATAACCACCCTTCAATAAATCAGGGCTGATAATTAAAAGAAATTTTCTAATCACTGGAGAAATCAGGTTTTGAATTAAGTTTTCTGACAAGAGTAGCGAGGACTAAAGTCCTAAATTTTAAGGAGGGGCTTGGCGATCTTATAATCTATGATCACTGCCACTGGGAGTGGTCAGACACATACATACCGATGGCTGTACCTGTAGAGAATTTATGAAGTGGTTAACATGCACTGGTTCAAATGCTGTGTAACAAAGTTCATAGTTAAACCTGAAGTGGAAATCCGTTCTTAGATGTATTACAGTCTTCATGTTATCTGTCTTTATTAACCCAGGATAATTTGCTCTTTTCCAGTGCTATCATGAAACCAGCAAATAACCTAATACCAAATACCTGGTGCTGTTTTCCAGTAATGATCATCATTCTGAGGACACAATCTTGCTCCATTTACTTCTTGTAATACACCAACATGGACAGAAACATGCTGCTTGAGAAACCCATTTGTACTGTATGTGTGCTTATCCAGCAGCTCCTAAAACAAACGTATCCAAAAATTCAAATGGAATCGTTGCTGTCTTGACATACACTTTAATTGCATCATTTATTCCTGCGACTGCCCAGTGACACCCACTATCATGCATACACAGAATAGTATGAATTTTATCAAGAATTGCAAGCAGAGTATTTCAACAAATTGTAGAATCACCACAATGTCACAATAACCTTGCCACTCCTTGTTTAACTTACTTTGTAAGACCACTTTTCCTACTTAAGAAAAAGGTGATTCCATTTTCAGTCACTGCATTTCAAAACCAACTTTAGATCACCAAATGGTAATAATCAGTAAATGATGATGATCAACAAACTGGTCTGAGCTAGTCCGACATATGGGGCAGCCAGTCTTCTCCCCCACCTTTGAGTGGACACAAACACATTACCGTAAGCTGCATTTCCGTAATGTTAACATTCAAACTGACACACCTATAGGTGTAGGAAAATAAACCTATTGCTCTGAAACAGTTCCTTACTTTCTGACTGTTCAGCTTGATTCTGAGTGTCTCAGAAGGTACTTCCAAGACAAGTTTGCTTTGCAAAAGATACATTAGGATGTAACAGTTCAAACTTTGCTCTATATTTCCACATTGCTCTACATAGCAGTAATGCCTTTATAGACTCTCATATTTTAAACTTTGGCGTGGCTTAAATATGTGAAATTATACATACAATTTGTTGTATTATGGAAAACCAATGCAAAACTTATTTAGTAAATTACTGATGAACGAGTTTTAGGGATGAGAACTCAGTAGAAAACTGCAGCACCAACTTTCCCCTTACCTGCTTAGTCTTTTTTATCAGTTTGCATCTTAATTTTTATACTAGCAACTGAACTTCTGCTATACAACATGCCCATTCATTCCAAATGTAATAGCCTCGCTTGAGTCAAGATTTCCCACTCAGCAACTGGTTCACAACACCTCTCAATTGACAATCTTAATCTGATGCATATTAATATTCTGGTAGCCTTTCGGATCATCAGTGTACAATACTCAAAACTGGGCCTGAGTTGCCTGTAATGATGGTCAGTGTTTTTCCTCTCTAGTCAATTACAGTGAACTTAGAATCCATATCAGACTTCTGGGCTTCCTTCAGCAAAATACATATTTTTCATAAAGTCATTAAGACCAAAGAATCTGTCC